CCCAATAACGGAGAATCACATGGAACAGATGGAAGATGGAATCAAAAACTGTGGTTTATAAGGGGAGTTATCAAACTTGCATGCCTCTGGTTGGCAGTGAATGAAAGGAATTGGCAAGATAATGGTAACTACCGCGTATATCATCGGGGTTTCATTCCTTGCCAACGGGAGTTAAGGCAAGAGAAAGCTACATGTAAAAGATTCACGAGAAGACCCCGATAATGAAATCCTTCGCTAAGGGGGACCTGGAGAATCCCCTCATATCCCTATTGTCCCTGTGCATATCCTTAGTTTGAGACATTCCCATTTGGGCTTGGGGTATGGATCTAGCAATCATGACCTGCAGGAAGACAAGCTGATCTGTAGCAACAGAAGTAAGAGCGAGTACTTCGGGTGTAGAGTCTATAGGGCTTATGACGAACACTACATTCCGCATGGCTGAGGCAGATGGGTTGCTGTGGCACGAAGTCGATGCCGGTCGAAGTGAAGCCGGAGACCATCACCCTTGCTACACAGTCTCCCTGAAGCAATGGTAAAAGCCCAGCCCTAATCCTAGAGCCATGTATCCTTAGTTGCTATAAACCCCAACCCTGGATCCTTAGTCTGGAGAGCTAAAGGTACTAGAAATGCTGAGTTCGCCCGCGGGCTCATATGAGCGGCGGCCAAAATCCCCCTGACAGAGATTGATATAAAGGTTCCAGGAAAGGAGATGTGCAGCAGGTGAAACAGTAGCATGTTCATTGCTGAAGTGTTCGCAAAAACCTGCGAAACAATGTCATGGCCTGGCCAGTGTGCGCGAAAACAAGTGGCTTCCACTGGCAGCGTCATTGAACTGCCGCGTTGAAGCCTGAAATCAAAACCGCGATTTCAGATGCGTCCGCGTCAGCTTTTCCTCAGGCCGCGCCAGCATCGCGACAGGTTTGCCGATAGAACCGCAATGCCAACAAAGGGTTCGAAGGTGTAAGGCCACGGCTCATATCAGCCATAGTTATGAAGAATCATGACTTCCAAGATATCCAAAGTGCTCCTATCCGAAGCCATCTCTTAAACTCCTTTGGCCTTGGGCATCTCAAACATAGGCAAAACATGGATTGCTAGCGTAGAATTGTGGAGAAATACTGCGCACGTGTCGATTCAGTATCAAGGGCCCGAGTCTAAGCACGATGCTAACAAGAATATGCAAAGATAGTAGTAGCATATTATCCGCATTCCGAGATTGGCATGCGTAGTAGTTCAGCCTGAGTTCTTCCCTACTTTCGTCCTTCAGCTGCAGCTGCTGCTGCTGAACTACTGCCCCGATTACAGCCATTTCTATTTTCTACTGTGCACATGCAATTGATAACTATTGCGGATCGTACTTCTGCCTCGTGAGGCCTTGGAGCCTACAGTTGGGGACCTCTATGGAGACGGGAAACAACCCCTGCTAGCGTCAAAACCTTTGCGATCACATTTTGTGTTTGTGCCTAGTTGACTGCCGAAGCCTGCACAGCCGGAGTACTCACCTAAGCTCGTTATTTGCGGGACCTTGCGCGCAATGACGGCCCATGCTAGGTCTAAAGCCTCCACATCAACCGGCACTTCAGAGATGGACTACGTGGAAAGCCCGCACATGGAAACAAAGGTGGCTGGCATTCAGGCGGGCAGCAGGGGTGCAGCTTTGCATAGCTGGGGGTCAAGGGGGTCAGGGATGAGGTGGTAGCATATAGTTGTGGAGCTGCAGGTGCTGGTGCTTCTGCTGGTGCTGGTGCCGGTGCTGGTGCTGCTGCTGGTGCTGGTGCTGCTGGTGCTGGTGCTGCTGCTGCTGCTGCTGCTGCTGGTTACTGCAGGTAGCAGTTGTTATGACGCACGCAGCTACAAGCCTTCAGCGACTGTCATGTTGACAGTTGTGATTGCCCTAGACGTCCTGCGAGGGAGAAAGCATTGCAAGAACAGCGCTCAAAAAACAATCCGAGTGAATAAGGCCAAGCTTCCTTGAAGCCATTCGGGGGCATGTTGTTTGCGCAGCTAACATACCTATAACAGTTGAGTTCGCGGCCTCATTCTAGCAAAATCTGTACTACAACAGTCTTCAAGCGTCCAGTACAAGTTGCTAGCCCTGCAAGTGGGTAATCTGAGGGGTGGATCTGTCAGTAGACCTGGATTGCTCTACATGTAACATTTGCATGATAGTCACCGTCAAACATACTTCAGAAACCCCTTTGTAATTTCCCAGGCCGCGGTGGTATTCTTCTTTCAACCCTTGTCAACAGGGACAGAAGTGTAGCTATAGTCCCCCGAAGGCAGATAGAATATGTAGTATATGGGTTAGAATATACCCAAATCCATATTCTATCTACTTAAGGGGGACTGTAGATTCAGCTAGATTAGGGGACTTTTGGTTACCATGCGCGAGGCTCCCTACCTATTCTCGAGAGGTACCCAGATTTCTGCCCCTAATCCAGAGAGATCCCACATGCGGCGTGCAGCCTAAACCCTAACCCCAGATCTACGAACCAAGGAGCAAGGACGGTATAGCAAAGAACCCAACTCGCTGCGGAAGTAGATATAGTCCCCCTGAAGTAGATAGAATATGGCTTTGGGTATACTATGATAAGATCCCCATATACCCCATAGTCTATCTACTTAAGGGGGGACTATAGGCATTACCGAGCTCCCATTTAATTTCACGCTCTTGTTCATGCGATTCTCCTTTATTGGGCTAACATTGAAAATTCTACGCCCTAAAGCCTAAATGGTAGCTTCTATCGAACTTTCAATGCTCTTACCCATTCTGTTCTCCATTATTAGTGGTGGCACGGCGACAGGCCGACTCCTCAGACGTTTTCGTTCAAGACCCTCAGCAAGATGCAATCGACGAGGAGCACCCGTCTGTGCTCGCTTGCTGCATATCCGTCTAGCAGGTGGAGAAGCCGGCAGGTCTTGAGGGCTACTAAGGGCAGCAGCTCCGAAGAAGTTTCCAGGCTTATGATCTAGAATTCGCAGCCCAGGAAGTCCAAGCATCCAAGGTGTTCCATTGCAATCCAATCCCCAGGCCTTTAAGAGATCCTCGGACTTTTGGGAGAATGTGTTATGATTGTACAGGTGGCTTCTCGGCTCCAAAGTGTGCCCAGCTTCTGGAGTTTCCTATGTGTCTCCTGAGCTGAAGTAATCTCCTCCCTATACTCTTAAGCTCCCCCCCCCGCCCCACTCAGTAGCATGAATCATATCCTAGAGTAGTCCATATAGGGCCAGTGCACACACAGACATTGTCACACATGCAAATACGCATGCACATGCATACAAGTAAAGAGAGGGTCACATGTGATTTTAGGGACTGCGGGGGTGTTGGATTCAGAGGAAGGAGAATCTTGCCTACAAGGCAGAGCAAGCCATGTGAATATGTGGGAATGTCTCAAAAGCATACATACAGCCCCGGAGTCCGTACCCTCTAAGAACGGAGCTCTGGGGATATATGGAGGGTTGTCAACATTATTGTCGTTTTGGGCTACCCCACATCTTTGGAGCCGCATGATTCACAGAGACCCCAACATGGGCCACAACTTGGGTAAGCCCACCATGTAGGGCCCCAGATGGAACTATGGAGTACCGCCCTTTTGAGACATCTGCATGTTTGAACTCGCTCAATCCCAAGCTTCCGACTTCCGAGACAGGAAGGCAGAGCACTAGGGGAAGGGTTCAGGGTTTAGGGTTGGAAGCTCGGATTTCCAGAGCAACATATATGACTTTGAACGACCCTGCTTTCCGTTTGCAATGGGTTCAGGATCCTTTTCTTTTCTTTTATGCCAATATACCCCACCCAATATACTACAGTAGTTTCCACTTTCTTTTCCATTATCCCAAGATATCCCAAGATAACCCTGAACCCTAAACCCCAATATACTATAGTAGTAGTGGGTAGTTAGGAAGGCAGAGGGATTGGACGGAATGCGCCCGAAGCGCTTTGCAACCAGGTTCCTCCTGGGCTATGAGATGCACACGTCCAACATCAGGGGTCTCTCATTATTGTTTACCCCTAAAATACATTGTAAGGACGCCCCCGGGGCCTGGAGCTTGGAAACCCACAGATGACATGAAGAGGGAGCCCTGTTTCAGGAAGTCCCCACACTGCGAGTGAAAACCCTGGAGGCCAGTGCGGGACCAAACCCCCCAACCCTAAACAAAACACGGACTTAGTAGCTCGCTTGCTCATTGATGAACCGTGGGCAGGGCTCTTTTAAGCAGACTCAGGAAGGCCTTTCTGAATACTGGTAGAGCAGTTATGTGTTACTCTTTGCACCGCACGGCTCTAGACCAATACCACACGAGTAGTGGATACATACGTCAGGTGTTCGACGAATTGTGCCCCGGACTAGAAAAACTTGTCCCTTGACATGGCATATGCTTCTGAGGATATACTCCTTCCTCTACACGGTTTCAGATAAAGGTGTTGGTTGCGTGTCCTTTCACCTAGGCTCACGCATCATATGGCTGCTGTCAACTCTCAACGGCATGGAAACGTGGTACAACGTAGGGAAAGTTGCAATCTCTTCCCCCCAAGATGAACCACTGCCCATCTGCTTACTGTTACTTATAAGCTTCAGATCAGGGCATGGGTAGAGGTTAGTATCGCAATAACCCCTTGCCTTAACAATGACCCCATAGCCGACATCTTGGGGCCTTCCAACGTGTAGGTGCCCTTTTTGGGAGTGGCTTCATAGCATATTCCGGGCATGTATGGAAACCCCTATGTAGTTCCCAGTACACAATGGTACTATACTTGGCACATCGCAGCCCCAGGGCTCCATGGACATGGGATTGGAGGTTGCGAGACTACAGCATTTAGGGTTTCTTATAGGGATTAGCGATGTTTAGGGTTTAGGGCTTGAGGATTTAGGGCTTACTGACCTTCACCAAATGCCCAAGGAAATGCATAACATGCATCACCTGTTTTATTTTGAGGTCCCCATAAAAAGGGTTCTAATATTTTGGAGTCTGCTTGGGGGTCCCCCGCCCTTTTTTGGGAAACAAGCAGATGTCCCTGATTCCTCTGGTGTTGACCGGTAACGCCGTCTGTACAATTGACAACGCTCAGGAAACAGATCCCCTTTCCGACCCTAAACCCTAATCCCAAAATCCAAAACCCTAATCCCTAAACCCGAAACCCCAAACCGTAAACCCAAAAACCCCTAGAACCCTTAACCCTAAACCCTGCCCGGCCCTAAACGGTAGATTCCCAAAATAAGGGGACCCCAATATAGACCCCAAAGTACTATAGTCCTTATTATGGGGAACCCCAAAATGGCACCCCTAATTTTGGGAAATCCTAATCCCTATAATCCCCTATATAATCCCAGTTTCCATTTCATATTCCATGTTCTTTTCCATTTGATTCTCCATTATAGTAGGTATTCCCTAAACCCTAAACCCCAAACCCTAAACCCTAAACCCTATATAACCCCTAATTTTGGGAAACCCCCAAATCCTAAACCTTAAACCCCTAGAACCCTTAACCCTAAACCCTAAACCCCAAATCCTGAACCTTAGCCTTCCCAGCTCATGAAGCACGATCTTCCTGAGCACCGTCTGCGCAGCGGGATCCTCATCCCTCTTCATGTGAGCTAG